ATAGTATGAGTAAAAAAATGACTTGAGAGAATCTGTATGTAAGCATTTTTGTATTGCTCAACAGGACAAAGTAAAGGAAAACTGATGGAATGCATAATTTCTCTAATTACAAACAATTTTGTTTTGTTTTTTTATTTGTCCATCCTAGCAAGGATATAACTTCCAAGCATATTTCTTTGTCATTTCTAAGTGCTTCTTTCGGGCACTTTGCTGAATAATATTTCAATATGCAACCCGGTTCTTACATATTTCTATATCTTAACCTGATAAGAATGTTTTTATCTCTAAAATACAAACTATCAATGTCCCCTTCCTTTTTTTTTCTAGACAACAGCAGAAAATTTTAGTCTCCAGCTTTTCGATGTTGGTTTCTCATTTTGTTGTCACTGCTGTCCTTTTATTTATTGTGCATTTTTCTCTTGCTGCGGCCATTTTCTTCCACATGCATCTTGAGCAAGCATCTATCTGTTTGCTGCCATCTAGAAATAATACGATACAGCTTTTATGTTAAAATAGCTCTTCTGAGTCTCAGATGGCATGTCAAATATTACCTCAATTGCCATGTCTGTACATACTAAATACCAAAAGAGGTCATAGCTTCACACTTAAGTTTATATCTGGAAACTAAAAATATGCAACACATTGACTAGAGGAGCATTATAGGGACACCAAACAGCCTTGAAGGTACAGTGCTGCTTATAATGTCTGTGTGAATTATTTGAAAGACTTGTTTCTTTAGGGAGATTGAAAACAAAGCAAATGCTGGGACATAAAGTTATTAAAAGGATGAAAAGGAAGGGACAGGATATATCCTTGTCAATTCCCCTCAGGAAAATTTCATTATGCAAATAAGATATTTAAGGTAAATTCAACCAATCCTTGCATTATGTGGATCAAGTTAAAATTTTGTGGAATCCCTTAAACAGTTTGCAGCAACAAGAAGATCTTACAAATTGACTGCAAAAAAAAAAAAAAAGTATTTTATTTTATTTTGTTCAGGTCCTTTAAAAGGGAGCTACTGATTTTACTTGTTGTTTGTGGTATATATTAGTTTTTTCCTGAACAAACCTCTCCTTACATGAGATACAATATTTTAACATGCCTTATTTATTTTCAGCTGTAAAACAACATACATAAATGTTTGGTTACTTCTATCCAATGCCATCTATTTAAAGATAAAAAAACATTTACTTTGTAAGTGTCAGAAGTATAATAAGAAGTGGTTCTTGAGTCACCCTGTTGTGTTGAGAATTAACTTCAAACTACTTTCTTTCCAGGCAAACAATAATAATGATGCATCAGACACTTTAAAATCACTTGTATGGCAGCACTTTGGGCACCTCACAGAGGGCTTCACAATCATAGCAATATCAGTACAATACATTATTATTATAAAGGATAGGAAATTTATTTTATGTCTTGTTGATCTGCATTTCTCAAGCCAATAATGCACTACTCAAAGAAAAATAAAGGGAACACTCAAATACCTCATTCATTCTGAATGAATTGAATATTCTCATTGAATAATTTGTTCTGTAAAGAGTTGAATGTGCAAAATCACACAAAAATCCATCCAGGTCGCAAGGCAACACAAAGACACACAACCATGCACACACACACTCACACCTAAGGTCAAGTTGTAGAAGCCAGTTAACCTAACAGTCATGCTTTTGGATTATGGGAGGAAGTACCCGGGGAGAACCCACTGAACACTACGCTGATACATCAAACCGTGCCACCAACATTCAAAAGTGACCAAAACATCAGCCAGAAAGCATACGTACTGAGGATTGGTGTGTGGTCCCCACATGCACAACCACTGCTTTTTTGAGTGTGTCTTGCTAATTGCCATTGTCACAAAACTGTGTGAAATTGATTGTCAATCAGTGTTGCTTTCTAAGTGGACAGTTTGATTTTACAAATTTAATTCATTTAATTTAAGTCATATTGTGTTTTTTATGTCCCTTTATTTTTTTCAAGTAGTTTACACTAAGGGCCTGATCTTAAGGTGTTCGCATTTTAAAACATGTGCAAATGTATTTCTACGTTCCAAACACATCTTTGAAGAACATGCAAACTGATTTACACTTGAAATTCAGCAGACAGTGTGTGCAAACTTTTGTGGGTGTGGGTGTGTGTGTGTCTTCATCAATTTTTAGATCAACTATCAAATACCAAACCAACATTTATGGAAGAGAATATACAAATGTAAACATTTACAATGTGCAAAGCGATTTTCCGGATCTGAATCTCAACTGCGTCTGCAGGTTTTTTTTTAACCACCTCAGAAATTAAGGTGCAAACTGACAGTCAAAAATACCTGCAGTCATTTTGGCAACAAAGAAGGAATTGATTCAGAACCAGACAACAGAGAGAGATTCTGCGAGGATGTATATTTAGGCCATCAAAAAGAACAATAGTAGAACAATATAAATAAATAAAAGATTTCTCTGAAGTCTGTGAAGTTGGGTAATATCAACATAGGCCATAAGGATGCCAAAGAGACCTTTTCTTCTTTTATTTAACAAAGCAGGATCCTTCATTATAACCATTGATCCCAGCAAGTGGTGGGGGAGATCAACAGACTATGACTACTCTCTCTCATTTGATGATATTCATTTATGATACTACTACACTTTTCTTTTGTTATGTTCATCACTTTGCTTTTTACTTTTGTTTCTGTTTGTTTTGTTTGTAGCACTTGGAAATAGTTAGCTATGTAAAGTTCTCATGTTCTCTTTCTTTTAAAACCACTCTTAACTACTTATAGAAAACACAAGCTGCTCCTTTTCATGGGGTAGAACCAGATGGATTTATGCATTTAATATTTGCCCATCAGTCTTTGTAGATCAGCCACAACACACCTGCTTATTTATTTATTTTAAATTTTAAGAAACAAAAACTTTTACGTAAAACTTATCTGCTCTCATTTGGAGTCTTGGAGCCCTGAGTTTATATAATCAGTGCTGATGTCTGAACTCAATATTATTGTGGATGTGAAAAAAATACAGAGGAGTGGAATGGTGTAAGAGTGGGTTTATCACTACTGCAACTTTGTAAGACCAAATAGCCCTATTTTTAATCTATCTAAGGATATATTGTGGTGTCCTGCACCAAACAAAAGGGTTAGCTCATACATTTTTTTAACCAGATCAAAATCTAAAATAATTAAGCTAGTCAAATTTCAACAAAGAATTTTTACTTTATGGCCATTATTTTATTGGTCATCACTAATAATAAAGAGCTATATGTATGTGCCTAAGGACCTGATTGGAAATTGGTAAACATTTAACGGCAGTGTGTTTACTGGTAAAACCTGGATTTGAATCTTCCACACTGGCAAACATTATAGATGCTTCTCTAACCTTCTTTTGTATGTAGACACATGGTTTTCACAAAACTTTGTTAAAAGCTCTTCTTTTGTTCATATAAGCCAAATGTTGTTTATCATCTCTTCTTGAGATTTTTGGACGTTACATTCCTAAGAAAAGCCTCAACTCAACACAAAGGTCGTCATCCAAATTCTAAAGATATAATTACTGATAGAAGGAACCTCGGTGAGGGAGCTTATTCTATGTGATTAAAATTAACTGGGGTTACATCCTCCTACAGAGCTGCATGCTTCGATTAAATTAAACTGCTTGATTGGAATGTGAGTCTCTGTAAGCACTACTAGCTGGATGATTTTCATTAGAGACTATCACCTTTAATAGCCACGTTGGCAGCTGAATTCCTTGGTACATTCATGTGTAGCGACATGCATTAAAGTAAAGACAGTCATCCTAAGAGACAGAGCCAGTGACCCTGTTAAACCAAACACACTTCTGCCTGCGTAGACAATTACATCATTTGTTCCATGCATGGGTTTTTATTGAAGCAAGGCAGGAAGTATGAACCATGGGCTGGTAGATGGGCAAAATAAAACACAAAAGAGAAATCCAGACGCTCTGTCGCCAGTGGGAAGGGGAATATTTTATCCCGTAAGAGTTGGCTCATCTCCCTGTGGATACATGTTGCCATGGTAACTAGAGGCAGGAGTTTTGTTGGTTTATCTGATCTGTAGGACTCTGGAAGGGTCAGCACGGTCTAGCGAGTTTCCAGCCGTCAAGTGGTTGAACCTGTGTTCTCCACAATTTAACCCATCGTAACATGAGAATACAGACTACTAGAGTCCTATATATATATATATATATATATATATATATATATATATATATATATGACTCTAGTAGTCTGTATCCTCATGTTAGGATGAGAACACGAGAATACATATAAATATATATGTAGACATATGTATGTAGACATATACCTTCAGTACACACGAGGACTAAATGCAGGTCATCCAAATGATACAGAATGTTCTCCAACTCCAACTCACATTATCTTACCTTTCTCCATTTGTCGTAATTGGAGTTGCATTCAAGCACACAAAATTTTTTTCACCCACTAGACCATATATCACTTTATCTCACCTTCAGTCTATTTATTATTCCACCCAAACACAAATTTTGTTCCTATTTCCTGCCTCACAGAAACACACATATTTTATCTTGACATGTGATCTTACGAGCTTTTGAAAGTGTGTAATCCACCATCTGTCTTGTCCTTTCTCAGTGTCATCTCTTTACTCTATCAGGCTGACTATTCAAATTGCTAGTCTGATGGACTACCTACTCACCCACTGCATCTCTCTGAGTTGGAGCTTTGATACATGAAAGAGCAGAGGCAGTAAACCTTGACATTCAACTCACTCTAGGTCTGTTAGCACACTTGCTACAGCTGAAGTGATGTGAAAACTCCCTGGTGATGAACAGCGTTTGATAACTAAGAAACAATACCACACACACATTTTTACTGTGACGGACTTTAGGTATTTTACTATGAGTCTCCACATTTCAGGAAATGTGTGTGCAAAAGACATTATGTTTCACCTTGGTAACGTTGGACATTCAACACAGTCTTTCATGTGGAAATGTTTAAAGGTGTCTGTAAAAACTCACTTTTGACAGTGGCCGTCCTGGTGCAGTTGTAGAGAATAGCCAGCTCTCCAAACACTTTTCCTGGCCCCATGGTGCAGAGCTTCAAGCTTTCTTTTGTCACCTCCACCTTACCATCTAAAACAGATAGACAAATGCAAAAAAAAAAGAGTTCAGCTTGCATGTTTCATTAGCCAAGTTAATCACTTAATTTACTTTATGCATTAAAACTTTACCTGTGATTATTTGGATATTATTATATTATAAAAGTGTGTATTTGGTTATTATTGCTTCTGAGAGTATTAACGTTCAGTGGTATTCTTAAAGTGGACTAGATTTTCATCTTAAATTTTAATTTCTGTATTCCCAAAACTATTACCCCTCTTGTAAAGTTTGGTTCAAATTTGTTCACATGGCTACCGTAAATCTTTTATAAACATTTCCATTCGATCTCTCGAATCTGCTCTCAATGCATAAGTGGGAACGTGTAAGAAGCCCCATCTTAAGTTTGGAAGAGGGTGTTCTTATGAAAATGATCAGATATGGGAATACATTTTTTCACCACTGACAGGAAAGTGGTTGATTTATAGATGGGTGAAGATAATAAAAAAAAAAATCTTGGGAAAAAAGTTCTTTATGAATGGAACAAGAAGACTAAACATACAACCTGGACTACAGATACATTTTTTTGATCCAAGTATATTTGCGTTGTATAACATCCAATCAAAATCTGGACCTCAAGCAAACTCAAACCCTGTCAAACCTTAACCACTGGTGTTCAATAATCTTTTGTTACAACCTAAATGAGTTTTTTTACGTGAAAATGCATGCTGCTTTTTACATGCAAACTAAAAGAGACATTCATAAATAATTATCTTACAATGGATAGTAAAATTCTTCCTGAGGGCCAAACCTAAAAACCTACACGAGGATACGTACAGTATATAACCAGATAAATTGTAAACTGTTTTGGCTCTACTCCAATCTATGACTGGCTCACACAGTTGGGACTTCATCTTACTACAGGTATATGCATGTTTCCACCCCAAACTATAAGAAGCTCATTACTTGTATCTGTTTGTTGTTGTCATTGCATTCAGATAAGCTTCTACTAGGGTGAATACTTTTCTGCTAACACCATAGTAAAAGCACTGTAAGGCTGACCCAAAGAGCGAAGCCTAGAATATAACAATTACAGCCTACTTTAATCGGTCCAATAGAAGTTGGAGTACAGTGAGTAAAATGTACAGTTTGAAAAGTTGTCCTCAGAAACCATATCCTCATTTTCATGAGATGCAAAATGAAAAACTCCCCCAGGAGTCAGTACCTTTTTTATTCCTTATGTTTTCTTTTTGCGATGGAACTATGCAGTATATTCTTTAACCACCCTAAGCCACAAGGTATCTATCACAACCCAGCATGAGACCATACCCAGATAGATAGTCTTTAAGTGTGTCACAATCTCACCAGCTGGCTCCCTAAAGCTCTGACTTTTCCTATCAGCCTTTACTCCTATAAGAGAATTTCTGTAGCACTAAGCTAAAAAATGTGGAACAAAAGGTATTTCCAGTCTTTCAACAGTGTAGGCTTCTCTCATTAGCAGTTGAAGCATTAAAACAGGTTACCAACTCTTCAAATGTCTTTGGTCCAGATTAAGTAAATAACTTAAGTCTTTGAAACGGAATAGACAGCCTATACAAAGTGTTTTAAAGTCAGTGTGAATACCTAGAAGCTTTAACAATTTTAAACTAAACACACATACAATACAACTGTCAGCAGTATCTGCCTCTTCTATTTTTAGTCATCCTGGAAATACTATTGTTAATAAGACTGAACTCTTTTTTTGTCCACCTTGGCCTTAAAAAAAAGTGTAAGAAAACTTCCTGCTCTCATTTCATAAAGGTGAGATATTTCATAAGCTAGATATAGCTGAAACACTTGGTAGGTCAATTTAATCTTCCAAAGTACTGTTGTGCCTCACAGCTATGAGATAAACAGAAAAAGGATGTAATATAAACATCAGCTGTGCAAGAATGCTGAGCTGGTCAAACTCTGTGTTTCAACCTGTGGCTGTTGCTCCTTTTCAGGATATTTCCAAGTGAGGAGCCTACAAGTACACCCTGCAATTCCCATAAGGATCCACCATATACAAGCTTTTTTCCAAACTGACTACAGTAACTCTCCTCATTCCACTGGCCACTCTTTCCACACATGGGAGACCCCCTCCATCCTGCTGGTAAGGGACTGCAATCTTCAAACTGATTCAATAGTTGAGTATGGTCTGTTTTCTAAACAAAGAACCACAACAGAAACCACAGAACAGGCTGTATTCATTTTTCTATCTCTGGGTTTAGCGGGAGAGACTAGCAACAAAGACCCAGCAGAGAGTAGATGACAGAAGCTTGCTCCTTCCACGTCCACAGCAAAGCTAGATAACTATTTGAAAATGGTTTAAACACTAATTTGACAATAACTTGTATGTGTTTTATGATCCACTCATCATACATTCATGCTCATAATATGACCAAATAGTCCTTTAAAACAAGTGCCCTCCAAGCCATTAGCTCCTTGTTTACAACACAGCTCAATGTTTTGATATAAATTAGTGTTTCATAGTTAAAAATGGTCAAATGGAATGTCCAACATGTAAAAGACCTGTCTAAAGCCTGGTTTATGCTTGACATGTCTGAGGTCCCTTTAGCACCTTCACCTGAATTTACGTACCACGCAATGAGAAAAATCTGTAACTATGCAGACAGCTCCACATGGAAAAACATGGCAGATGAGTGACAGCTCCTACTGCCGAGGATTTGCAGAACTTAAGATCTATAGACATCTTATGGTTTAGCCCAGGCATCCCCAAAGTCGGTCCTTGAGGGCCACTGACTTGCAGGTTTTAGAGGTTTCCCTGCTTTAGCACAGCTGATTATGATGATTGCAGTTGAGCAAAATCCTGTTAATGAGCTTTCAATTAAAATCAGCTGTGCTGGAGCAAGGAAACCTCTAAAACCTGCAGGACAGCGGCCCTTGAGGACCGACTTTGGGGATGCCTGGTTTAACCCATAAATATCACTACAATAAACACATTTGTTAAGAAAAAAACTGAAATGAAATGAACGTCATTCTTGGATTACAGGAAAAAGCTTTGAAAATGTAGGAAATGCATTTTTCTGCACGTTGTGTGGTGTTCAAAGCTTAAGACCCGTGCTATACACACCTACCTAGAGCTGGCCAGAATATTAGGCACATGGCAAAAAGCAGCATGTAGTATATAAGCTGCAGATGTGTATGCATTTTATTTCTGTGGGATTTTGCATTGTATTAAACTTAAATGAGCTTTTAGGCAGCAGGTTGCCTCTTTAACAGCTGATCATACTATTGTAATTTTCAACTACTACTACTACTTTTCATACTAATGTACTTTTCATGATCCTGCCCTTTGTGGACTTTTTGAGTTTTCATTTACATTTTAATTTATGTCATTCTGTTTTGTTGGTAATTGTTTCTTTTTAATTTGGCATAATTTAAGTTGTTTTCTTGTCATTTTTAAGCAGTGTTTTGATTCTTGAGTTACTCTCTGTACTCCCCCCTTGTGCCTGTCTCCTTTCCACTAGCTCCCTTCTAGTCACTTCTATCTACACCTGCTCCATATCAGTCCATTCTTTGTTCTGGTTTCCATATATACAGCACCCCTGCAGTTCCCCATTGCTGGTTCCTTGCAGTTTCTTTGCTCGCATGTGTGTTTTCCATGATGTCTCCTGCCCTTTTGGTTTTCAGTATTATTGTTTTTGGACTTTGCTTCTATTTCCTTTGGGATTTTGATTAAATCTGCAAAAACTCATCTCTGCCTCCTCACCTCTGCATTTGGGTCCATCCAACCCTGACATAAATCCTAGTTGCCCATCCCAAATGGTTAGTCAGTAGCTAATACAGGGTTATACAATACTGAGATAATGGCTTTAAACCCTCAAAATTATTTAACTCTTTACAATTCTTCACATTTACTTGTAGGTTTGATTTATAATTTGGTCAGCAAGCATCTGAAAGTGAACAGAAAACTGTACATGTTTTATGTGTAGAGTGAGAGTTATTGAAAAATAAGAATTAACAGAGCCCAGCAATGAAATAAGAAGGCTTACTAAATGCAGGTAATACCCAGAAATAGAATAATCACAATGTTAATTTATTGTCATTTCACAAATGACCTGTATATTTGTTTGCTTTATTACACTGTTTCTTGGACGTTCAGGAGCACCCCTCTGACAAAAGCACACACACTCACAGGATCCATTTAATTTCCTGTTTTACATCTAATAATACCTCCTTAATCACGGCACTTTGTTACACAGCAAAACTCAAAATTCACAAGAAATGGAACTATGTCATTACGGAGCCTCATTCAAATCAAGGGCACATGCAAAAGCAAATGATCACATAATGCAAACAAGTTGATATAACAATATCCTAAATTTTTCCCGAACACATGATGTGGTGTCAAAGAGCAAAGAAGAAACGTGATACATTAGAAAAAAACGTGTTAAATATGTAAAACATTAACTGCTATTAGGGTTATAACTGTCAGTGAAACACAGCATGTCTCCTTCCCCAGAGGCAGTGTTAATGGGTTTAATGGTTGATCATTTGAATGAGGTTGCAAAATGCTTTACATATTCTGCAGCAACCGAGCACATATCTGTGTAAACTTTGTTTTCGGCTTATGATCAGATAATCTTCCTGCTGCATTTCATATTAAATAACTCCTAAACTTCAATTACAGACTATAAGTTGACAGATTTCTATGGCAGTAGCTCTTGCCGGTTGCTTTAACTTTCCTGGTTCCTCTTAGCTAATTATATTTCCTTTCTATTTTATGCTTTCCTTTTTGCTCTTTATGTTCGTAAAAAAAGCACTTTGTATATATTCAAAATAGCAAGTCCACATTATCGGGGTTACTTTATTGCTCATGCACACAATAAGTAAACAAGGAAGCTGATAAAGCAAGTCAGCAATGCCCATCGGGGGATGCGAAAGAAAAATAGAAAAGTCAACTTAAAATAAAATATGAAGATTGAAGTTCACTGAAGAACAAGCTAAATATGAAGAAGCATCAGACTTACTGCAGTTGGTGGATGCATGAG